ATATCTCACCGCAAGGGCGTCTCTCTCCTGAAGTTGTCCTGCGGGGGCGTCCAGGAGGGTCGAGGAGCGAAGGCGGCCCGGGAGGAGGAGGAGAAGGCGGGAGGAGTCGGTGCACACTGTCCACTCACCACGGGGTCGCGAGCACAACTGACGAGCCAACTCCAGGGGGCGGCCCGGGGGGAGGGGCTTGAGGGAGGTGGGAGGGGCTACAGGGGGAGGGGATGGAGGATCAGGACGGCCATGCTCGTTGCCGGCGGCTCCCTGACAAGAATGGGGGAGCTCCTACACGCTGGCACACACACATACACACACACACACACACACGCACACACACACACGCACGCACGCACGCACACGCACGTTCATACGTACGTACACGGGTTCTTCTGGCCGCTTCACCTTACACACCGAGGCTCTCACGTGTGTTGATGCTCTCGGAGGAGGTTCCGATAAGGCCTTTCGCGCTCCGGAAATAGACCATTCAGAGGTGCTTGAACGGCGGTGCCCCGAGGACGCGAGGAGAGAGCGAGAAGGCGATTGTGTTATCGCCATTGTTCCTTTTTTATCGGAGGAGGTGCGAGGGGGGAGAGGGAGGTGGAGGGGGCGGCGAGTCGCGTCTCAAAGAGCATTTTGTGGCGAACGAAGCGAGTGATCGGATGCTGCGTGATGTAGCGGCGGCTTCTCTGTCTGTCTCTGTCTCTGTCTCTCTTTCTCGCTGTCTCTCTCTCTCTTTTTCTCTCTCTGTCTCTGTCTCTCTTTCTCTCTGTCTCTGTCTCTCTTTCTCTATCTCTGTCTCTCTTTCTCTCTGTCTCTTCTCTCTGTCTCTGTCTCTCTTTCTCTCTGTCTCTGTCTCTCTTTCTCTGTCTCTGTCTCTCTTTCTCTCTGTCTCCGTCTCTGTCTCTCTTTCTCTGTCTGTCTGTTTCTCTCTCTCTCTCTCTCTCTCTCTCTTTCTCTTTCTCTTTCTCTTTCTCTCTCTCTTTCTCTCTCTCTCCCTCTCTCCCTCTCTCCCCCGCGCCATCACACACGCGGCCATGCGAGCGGGGCCAGGATTGGGTGCCCATGGCCGGGGAGCTTGCACTTTGCCGCTGCATCAAGGTTACGCCAGCTGCATCCCTCAGCAACGTCTCGGGGATGCGACACCGGAGAGGTGGCCGCCTCAACAACGACAGCGGGGGCAGCTAAAACAACAGCTTTCAGAAGTGACGATAGCTACGGACAGGAGGACAGGAGACAGAGATGGAAACAGATCCCTTTCTGCATCTCGGGAGGGGGAAGGTACGGCCTTCTTTTCGAACAATCGGCAGCCCCCTACGTGTGCGGCTAGGTAGCGAGAGACGGCGCCCGAGCGGTTGCCTGCTTCATAACAATAAAGTAAACACTTCGCAGCCTCGCCTTCGCTAGCTCGCCTCTCCCGCTGCCTCGCCCAATTACTTCATTACTTACTCTCATTAGCACCAGTGAAGAGGCATGGCTGCGGAGTGGAGGGAGGGGGGTGAGCGAGAGAGAGAATGGGGGGGGGGGAAGGAGCTGTGAATGTCATGAGGTTACAAGGCAAGAGAAACAGGAGAAGGGGGGAGGGAGGGAGGGTCAGGAGGAGGAGGACGAGGAGAGGAGGAGGACGAGGAGAGGAGGTGGAGGAGGAGAGAAGGAGAGGACGAGGAGGAGGAGAGGAGAGGAGAGGAGCTGAGGAGGGGAGAGGAGAGGAGACGAGGAGGGGAAAGGAGAGGAGAGGAGACGAAGAGGGGAGAGGAGAGGAGACGAGGAGGGGAGAGGAGAGGAGACGAGGAGGGGAAAGGAGAGGAGAGGAGACGAAGAGGGGAGAGGAGAGGAGACGAGGAGGGGAGAGGGGAGGAGACGAGGGGAGGAGAGGAGGAAGAGGAGATGAGAAGAGGAGGTGGAGGAGGAGGAGAGGGGGAGGAGGAGGAGGAGGGAGGAGGAAGAAGAAGAAGAAGAAGAAGAAGAAGAAGAGGACGAGGATTTACTTGTTTCCGCCGGCACGAATGACGTCACGCTTTGACTCATGCATGCCAAGTTATTGTTTATCCAGATTCCCCCACCGTCCCTCTCGCTTCCCTTACCACCCCCTCCCTCACTCCCTCCTTTTTTCTCCTTCCAGCCCTCCCCATCTGCACTATCACGACACTTAGAAGCACACCATGCACATCCTTCTCCCTCCTCCTCGCCGTATCTCCTCCTCCTCCTTCCACTCTTCCTCCTCCTCCTCCTCCTCCTCCTCCTCCTCCTCGCTCTCCCTCCTCCTCCTTCCATTCCTCTTCGCCTTCCCCACCTCCTCCTTTTCTTCCTCCTTCTCCTTGGCCTTGCCCCCTCCTCCTCCTTCTCGTTCCACTCTTCCCCCTCACTCTCCTCCTCTTCTCCCTCTCCACTTCCTCCCTTTTTCCTCCTCCTCCTCCTCCTCCTCCTCCTCCTCCTCCTCGCCTTCCCCACCTCCCCCTTTTCTTCCCCCCTTCTCCTCGCCCTCCCTCATCCTCCTCCTCCTTCC